AGAGAGAGAGAGAGAGAGAGAGAGAGAGAGAGAGAGAGAGAGAGAGAGACTAGTGTTTTAGACAATAGTTTTTAAATGAGAAAAGTTTTGAACGTTAGCCAATTGAATTGTTCAAAATTCGCGGGCTCAGGCGTGGCATAATAATAGAGATGTTTTCAAACATTTATCTTATTTTCTTCTATTTTTCTAAATACATGAGGTGTATTTTCGTTCTGATACTACAGTAGCGTTTGGTTAGGAGTGTTTCGGACTGTGACGTCACAAACAGATACCATGATCAAAAGTGACATTTCCCTTCCACTACGGAAATACAAGTAATACTTGGCGGTAAATATGGATCAGAGAACAAAGATAGCGTTAGCTTTAGCGATACAATTATTCGAAGGGATACCTTTGATAATGACTTACATACCATAGCATGTATAGTAAGTCGGGGGCAGCGTGTAATGTTGCTCTGCTATTTCAAAAAGAGGATATACGGCAGCATTTTAGGATATAAAACTTGGTTAAATGGCGTTTCTGATATACCTACTTAATTATTTACTTACAATGGAATCTCGCGAGATATCAAATTCTGATTTTAATGTGAACTTGTAGTTTATATAAAGAGATGAATTTATATATATGTGTGTATATATATATATTATAGAAAATATCAGTTGGGGCTAAAAAACGGTTTGAAGGAGTGAAATCATCCCTTATATGTACAACGGTCTAGTACGTCTAGAGGACAGTATGTCTATAGAGGAGTTATGCTTTATGTTATTTCTATGTTTATTTACACGGGTCTTGAGTTGTCTTTTTATTTGTCTCACATAAGACGCTGTACAGTCTTTACAATAAATTTTGTACACAACATTCTGGTTTCGAAATTTATTTAATGTCTTTATATGGACTTTGATAAAAGAAGAAGTTTTTGAACATGGCCGGAGACACTACCGCGTTTCCTGATAAAATATTAAAAATTCTATAGCCTCTATTGTGAAGATTGATTTATTGAAAAATAAAGTAATTGAATAAAAAAACTTTCGGAATGAACGGTACAACAAATAATTTTTTCTTAATACAATTTTTTAGAATAATTATTTAACATAATTATATTTCGCTCGTTTTTTACAATGCAAAGTATAAAGAAAAAAAAACTCTAAATCGAGCAGTAATGAAGTTTTTAATAAATTTCTATAAGTTTACAATATTAATATGAACATCATAAATATAATTAATATAAAGAAATATCAAACGTTTCGGAACTCACAGGTCCTTCTTCGGCGATTCTTACAAATGTTTCTTTATCGTAGAATTAACGCATTATCTTACTGTCGAAGCAACATAATGTGGAATTGTACTGGTAAAACAATTTATTTCAAGGAATTAATTCTCCTGTATTTTGTGTGAGTGTGAAATTTGTGTCTAAAGTGAGAAATTCATTGTCATCAATATAATATAAAAGTAGTCACTTATAAGTAAGATTAAAATGAGTCATTTAAATATACATATATTGTCAAATGTATATTATTGTTAAATTTTGTATTACAACACACACGTCAATTATAAATTACATTTTTATTTGGTTAAAATTACATTTATTTGATTAAAATTGAATTTCTTACTTACAGTAAAGCACATGAAGCATCATTATATTATACGTATTCGTCTGATTCTGTTAAGCGCAAGTGTTACAATGGTGACAGACAGACTCTTAAGGCATCGGAACTGATATTTATTTATGTATGATATTTATTTATTTATGTACTTTTTTCAATAGGTAACTGTAAGAGTAACTATTTAACAATTTTTTTTCAAAAATTTAGAAAAATAATTAATACGTTAAACAGGGCGAATAAGAGTCAAATTACAATTTTAAATCTAAATCTGATAATTTATTCTAATATTATATATTGCGAAGAATATCACGTAATTATTTGGCGTTTCGTCCCGGTTTCCACTATTACTGATGAGTCCAGTAAGGCATTGTAGTGGAAGCCTACCTTATACGCCTTGTTTCAAGACCGAAATCCTTTCGGCGCGCAATAATTAGGGAGAGGGGACATTTATAAATCAGATTATTAGAGTTGCGTTGCAAGTCCGACAATTGTTCGGCGCGCAATTTGGGGGGACTATATATATTAATAGAACGTTATTTCCTACTTTGGAGAAATATTGCGAAGAATATCACTACATCGACTCGCCATCAGAGGTCTATCGATATTCGTAAATTCTCGCAAGTGCTAAGACACGCGTATATCTCTTTATATAGAATCTCGATTTAATAACTTATCAAGGCGTATAAGGTTGGCTTCCACTATAATGCCTTACTGATGAGTCCAGTAGTGGAAACCGGGACGAAACGCCAAATAATTACGTGATATTCTTCGCAATATATAATATTAGAATAAATTGTCAGATTTAGATTTAAAATTGTAATTTGACTCTTATTCGCCCTGTTTAACATATTAATTATTATTATATAAAAGAGTCCTTCAAATCTTCAATTTATTTGTTTAAAAAAATAATTATTTTTAAAAAATATATTATTGACGTGAATGAATACAGCTAATTTTGTTGTAAAACTTTTGTATAAAACATTTTTTTATATTTCGAATAGTTTTCGATGTACACGTAAGGGGTGATTTTATCCCTTCAAACTTAGTGTCCCTAGAAGATAGAATCTGGCCACATATCGTGATTGTTTTATTGGTCAATCCCAAAAGCCCCTCACAATGGCGTAACCAATCACACAATACTGAAATCGCGCGTATATTTGTATATACATTGCAATCTACTTGAAAGTATGAAGACTGAAACTTGAATTCTAAGAGCCTAAAGAAGAAGAAAAAGAAAGTATGAAGGCTACGAATGCTTCAAAATATTTGTAGTCTAATCCAGACAGTACACAATATTTATAAAATATTTACAAAATATTTTAAGATGTATTTTTAATATTTTGTAAATATATTTTGTGGTCCTAGATTACATAGATTATATTTATTATAAATATTATGGAATATTTATCGTACATATTGCAGTAAATAAATACTATAAAAATACTTAATAAGATATTATAATCTAAATAAAAAATATTTACTAGAAAAATATTTTTTTAAATTTATATTCATCATAAATTAAATCAAGTTATATAAAATGTTTAGTTTATTTTAATGTTTTCGAATGAAGTTTATATAAAATATGTATAAAATATATATATGATATATTTACACAATATTTTAAATAATAAATAATAATAAATACTTATGAATGTTTATCGTAAATATTTTGTAATGTCTGGGAATGGATTTAAAAATTAAATTCCTTTTATGATTAACATATTGTAAGAATGTTATTATTTGCTAGGTTATAGAGAACTACTTATGGATTTTACACTTCTAACAAATATGAAATTGACGAGTTGCAACACGATAATAATTTAACTTACTGTGTATAAATTAATCGACTGTTCTTGTGTCCTTTAAAAGGGTATACGTATGTATACGTATGTCCGCGATATCACGATATGTATGTATTTCGAGAAAGCTGTGATCAATTCCCACCACTTACTGACGCCATTTTGAGGGGTAGTGGCCAGACTCTGGCTGTTTTTCGCAAAGCGCATATGCGCGCATTCCCCTATAGTATACGTGACACTCACTATATAAAATGCGTGCATATTGCGTGCATATGCGCTTTGCGGAACGCAGCCTCTATCTTCTAGGGACACTATTCAAACTGTTTTTCCGTCCTAACTAATATTTTCTAAATTTATTTCTTTATGTAAGCACTTTACGTAAATTCACAAAGTTTTATCAAAATCAGAATTTGACACCTCGCGAGGTGTCTTTGTTAGTTTATCATACACTAAAAGCCCTGGGCTTTTTTGGATCTTCTGACATTTGGATATTGTTAGAATCCTGATACAGCATATGCTGATCAAGGTTTAAGATTATATGTTATTCATCACTATTTGTATATAGCGGCGGATTCAAACGGGTCACTTTCCCACTCAAACAGATAAGGAAACGGGTAGATATTAAATCTTCTCAGACTAAAACCTGGTACGATTGAAAGATCAGACAAGATCTATTTTGATGTTGAACAGAAGGTTTGGTTATCCTCGGAAAGTTAAAGAGCAGGGCTCCAAAAAATTTCAGAATAATTGGGAAGGCTTTTATCATGTCATAAAAAAACTTAGTGATGTGATTTATTGTATTCGCAAATCAAATAAGCATAAGAATAAAGTTGTACATACAGATATAGGTTAGCAATGTTAGCATCCAATTTCGAAAGGCGAATAAAAACAAAATAAATAAATAATTTAGTTTTTTTTACGCAACATGCAAACGACCTCCCCGGTTTGGTTGGATGTTTGGGTCCTACCATGCTACGCGTTGGCATCGGTGATGTCATAACTACGAAAACAGCCATGGTTACTTTTGATTGGTCGTGATTGAATAACGAAAATACGCTTCTAGCTTCACTACTGTACACTGCTTAACCGCGCGAATTTCGAACAGTTCAATTAGCTAACTCGATTCCCTTAAAAAATTACTGTAATGTCGACATTTTGGTCTCGAAATTAGATTTTTCATCTCGAAATGATCTCACGAATCTGTCAATTATGACGATAAATCTCTCTAGGACTTAAAAAATTCTGTATATCTTCAAAAGTCTTCGGTAATGTCTTTAAATTATGAGTTATACAACTGCATTAGTAGATATAGTCTATGTAACGGTTTCAAATTTCCAGCCGTGAGAAAATTTACCTCTTTCTCGAGGAAACCGGCCCTGAGTGCTATCTGGTTCTCCTTCATGCGACGCGCGTCTCGCGATCGTTTCGCTGCCATGTTGTTCTTCCTACGACGCGCCCAGTATTTGTCATCCTTCAAGTCATCCGGAACGAACTGCAGCCGCAAACGGAAGAGAAAGAAAGAACATAAGAACGTTAGAACGCTTGTCTCACTTACACGAAAAACACGTAACTCGATGAGAATTTAGTTCATTACGGTAACTGACGAATTTAGAAGCCCGAACAGCAATATAATTACTTAAATGAATCAAGACTCACCTGCTTCCGCGATTTCTTGATCATAGGTTGGGGTTTGAGTTCCTCGTCAGAGAAGGCCCGGGTACGTGGATCGAAGTCTCGCCCCGATGAGGCCATCGAGAGCGCTACAAGAGACAAGCCATATTGTATTCGTGACGAGTCCTCGGAATCTGTCGCGCGGAAGGGGAACAATCGACAATGTCGACGTTAGTCTAGTTTAACTATCATATACTCGACAAGCTCGACGTTATCGCAATACAGATTCTGAGATAGCGTACATATTGTATCTTCTCACTTTCTTGTAGATCAAATGCGGCTACTATTATTTACATCAGAATGCTGCTTCTTTATACCTTGCTTTCGTCACTTGGTTTTTAGCCCGTTTACTTTCAGTCAAACTTTCCATTTATGACTTTCTATTGGATTTCTCTCTCGTTCTTCATGCTCTTCTACTCTATTTTTCTTAATTTCCTAATATTCCATCTTGTATTTTATCGAGTATTCTTGGTTTTCTAAAAAATTATTCGATACTGATATTTGTAGACGCTACTAAAAATCTAAAACTTTCATCCTTTTGTACGAAGTCGTATGAAATACTTCTCAGGATCTCGATATCACGAACGACGGCTACGACGAGAAATAAAAATGAGAGAGCGAGCAGGTTGTATTTTACTCACTGGAATCCGCGGGAGAGGGTGGGTTCAGGGTGTCCGGCGAGCAGCATTCGCTTGGCGATGGTGATCTCTCACGCTTGGTAACTGGTTCCAAGTGGAGACCCGCTGGTCCCTGATGCCCGGCGGCCTCGGTGTTGTTGATTTTATGGAGCTGGCTACCTTGCATAGCACCCTGTCCACCACCAGCCACACCGTCGACGGGGATGCCGTTTTCGGAAAGAAACTCATCGAGATCGACGTACTATCAACAGAGGTCTGAGGTGTCATTTCCGAGATGTTTCTCGGAACTTTGTCAAGTTCAAGCAGGATCTAACTTATGCTTAGGTAAACTAGGCGGATATATAGAATGCATTTTTACTGGGTCTAATAAATACAAAAAAAGAACGAATCTAAAATTTTACTGAATACAGATCTAAAAATAATTTTGAACACACTATTAAAATAATTTCGTTGGAAATTCAAATTGGTTGCTGGAATATCAACATTTTTTACAGCATTGCTCATCTGTTTTAGTTTCTAGTATAATTATATTTTGATGGTCCAACAAAATTATTTTTAGATCTGTTTAGAATTTATTATAGATTTTTAGCAAAATATTGTTCTTCCCACGTAATAATAAATATAGTAAATTATATACAAATAATGATACACATAAACATTTTTGTATCAATAGAATTAACAACGAGTCAGAGTATAAATATTTATATTTAATGTAGAATTGAGTTATCTATAATTAAAATACGCAATCGATTAATATTCTGTCAATATATACAAATTTTCCAAAAATAAGTTCCGTGAAGCCATCATGATATTACCATAAATGTGAAAGCTATCCGCACTCTGTTGTAAATTTCGAAAAGGCATATAAAACTACTTCGAAACGAAACTTTTAAACGCAACGAAGGAATATGCTTTCATAGAAAAGTCTTTTTCTATCATATTTCTCATTCATTTCGCACTTTATAATTTTGCTCTGTTTTTTTTTTATCGAGATTCAAACGGCGTATCGCGAAGGAACGCAAGTGGTGAAAGTTGGCGAAAGGTTTACGAAGAGTTTTATGTGTTTTTCCAAAAATTACATTATTTATACATTTTACTCATACTTCACAGAAATATTTTAATTATTAGTTATCATACGTATATCCATATATAGCAACTGTATAAATTAAGACGGTGAATTATTTATGTAATATTAAATGCAATTGAGTATTGCTTTCTTTAGATTTTAGAAAATAGACAGGTTTCGTAGACTAGTATTTTATAAAGGGTTATCTAAAAGGATATACTTTTTTTTGATAAGCTATTTAGATAGTTTGGTTAAAAATAATAATGCAGATAGAAAAGAATAGCCGAAACTTCCTCGATTCCGCCGAGGCAGAACGGAGAAAGCGACCGCTATCGTTGCGATTGCATAGCGGCTTAATATTCGGCTTCCCGGTTTCTCGAGTCAGGAAGGCGAATTATAATGGAGCAAGTGTTACAATGGTCTACTACATTGATTTTTCATCCAATTACATAGCGTGCGTATATATATATATATATATATATATATATATATATA